CCTGCAGCTCAAAATAATCATCATATTAAAGCAGTATATTTGTGGGGGTAGGGAGGGACGTTTATTCTGCTTACTCATCTCTGTCTACACTTTTTTCCTAGGAGACTTCACATATAATGGCTTTATATAATCTCTATATGGTGATTGAACTTACTTTTATATCATGAATCCTGATCTCTTCCTGGACTCCAACTCAAACATCCTACAAATGATATGTGGTGGGTGAAGAATATAACTACTAGAATAGTTGGGCACCACTGCCTTGATTTGTGGCTGAGGTTGTAATAGTTTTACCCCACCATTGCTTTTCAATTGTGAACACGAATGTCAACAAAGAGGAAAAGGCAAATAACATTTTAGTATTCTTATGAAAATAGTTTGACTTTGCTGACCCCTTAAAATGTCTTGGGCCCTCACCCAACAGGTCTATGGACCACAGTTTGAGAACCATTACTCTACGTGATAATTACCTTGCCATGAAGGTCTTATCTCCTCTCACTCCCTGCCTTGCTCACAGTTCCACCCACTTAAGGACATTTTTCTTAGCTGTTCTATCTGCTTTTAACTCCCAGCCACTTGGTGTCTTTATTGTTACCAGATTTCAGCTCAAATGGCACCTCCTAGAGCAGTGACGGCGAACCTATGACACGCGTGTCAGAGGTGACACGTGAACTCATTTTTTTGGTTGATTTTTCTTTGTTAAATGGCATTTAAATATACAAAATAAATATCAAAAATATAAATCTTTGTTTTACTATGGTTGCAAATATAAAAAAATTTCTATATGTGACATGGCACCAGAGTTAAGTTAGGGTTTCTCAAAATGCTGACACGCCGAGCTCAAAAGGTTCGCCATCACTGTCCTAGAGGCATTTCTTGTGATCATCCAGTTTAAAGAACACCTCTTTCCCCCAGTCATTCTCTGTTAGATTGCCCTGCTTTATTTTCTTTATAAAAGTTACCATCATTTGATATTACACTGTTAATTAATTAATTAATTAGCTTGCCCCATTAGAATTCAAGTTCTATGATATCAAGGAATTGTTTTGTCTTACTCATTTCTGTATCTCTATCTCCTAGAAAATAGCAGTCAAAATTCAATAAACATTTATTGGATAAAAGGACCATGAGGAATTAAAAGAAAAAGTAGATGAGTGGCAGTAATTTAAAAAGTACAAAGACTTATAAGGTGGTTTATTATAGTTTTCCATATTAATCTCCCAATAACTATTAATGTCTCCTGACAGTTATTTCCCATTTTTCTCATAATATAACCAGACTTTAATATTCTCTCCACACCAATAGAGAATGTGTGCTCTTCCATTTCCCTTTCTTTTTAAAAAAATATTTTATTGACTTCAGAGAGGAAGGGAGAGGGAGAGAAACATCAATGATGAGAGAGAATCATTGATGGGCTGCCTCTTGCATGCCCCCCAGTGAGGATCGAGCCTGCAACCCGGGCATGTGCCCTTGGCCAAAATCGAACTTGGGTCCTAACCGGTTTGGCTCAGTGGTTAGAGCATCAGCCTGCGGACTCAAGGGTCCCAGGTTCGATTCCGGTCAAGGGCATGTACCTTGGTTGTGGGCACATCCCCAGTAGGGAGTGTGCAGGAGGCAGCTGATCGATGTTCCTCTCTCATCGATGTTTCTAACTCTCTATCCCTCTCCCTTACTCTCTGTAAAAAAATCAATAAAAAATATTTTTAAAAAAGTCAAACTTGGTACCTTTAAGTCCGCAGGCCGGTCAGTGTTCTATCCACTGAGCCAAACCGGCTAAGGCTCTATTTCCCTTTCTGATTATCAATTACACTTGGATGGAGTGCATAATATTTTAGGATACAGATGAAGAAGTTACAAAGGCACTTAATATAATAATTCTTCTTACTTTAAAAAACAATAATTTCGTCTGGCCAATGTGGCTCAGTGGTTGAGCATTGACCCATGAACCAAGAGACTGCCTGTTCGATTCCTGGTCAGGACACATGCCTGGGTTGCAGGCTCAATCCCCAGAATAGGTTGTGCAGGAGGCAGCTGATCAATGTTTCTCTTTCATCAATGTTTCTATCTCTCTATTCCTCTCTCTCTAAAAAATCAATGAAGACATACTTTAAAAAACAAACAAAAAACCCAATAATTTTTTCTATAGTGTTTTTAGAGAACAGTGTAAAAGTTAAAATCTATGATCAATTTGTAGATATTTGACATCTTTAGTATATTGAGTCTTCTTATTCATGAACATGGTAAGTCTGTCCTTTATCCAAATGAAGTTTTCTATTATCAACATAAGTGTATTGTACATAATTTATTAGAATTACTCACAACTACTATATATATGTGTGTGTGTGTGTTATTGTAAGTAAACTATAAGTTGTATTTTAAAAATCCCTTATTGTTTATAGAAAGAAACTTATTATTATTATTTATTTTTATTGTTGAGAATATTACAGATATTCCTCATCTTTTCCCCTTTGCCCCTCTCCACCAGGCTCCCGCCCCACCCAGCCTTTCACTGCATTATTGTCTGTGTCCATGGGTTATGCATATATGCATATAAATTCTTCGGTTAATCTCTTTCCACCCCCCCACCCCTTCCCTTCCCTCTGATATCTGTCAGTCTGTTCCATGCTTTCACGTCTCTGAATCTATTTTGTTCATCACTTTACTTTGTTCATTCTATTCTACATATGAGTGATACGTGTCTTTCTCTAACTTATTTTGCTTAGCAAAATAATCTCCAACTCCATCCATGCTGTTTCAAAGGGTAAGAGATCTTTCTTTTTTATAGCTGCATAGTATTCCATGGTATAAATGTACCACAGCTTTTTTATATTGACCTTGTACCTGGCAACCTTGCTAAACTCTTTCAGCATGCACTAATAGTTTATAGCTTAAAACGTTTTCTGTAAATGAAAACATTTACTGATTACTTTTCTTTTTCCCCCTTTTATTGTATTGTTTTAAATAGGAGTAGAAAGATTGTGCATCTGAGTTTGCTTAGCTGGGGAGTTAAGACAATTTTTATATTCTTATTTTCCTCCTTTCTTATCTACTATTTTTACCTAACAGTATATATCTTATATTTCTGATTTTATTTTTACTTATTTTTAAAAAATATTTTTGTATTGCCCTAGCTGGTTTGGCTCAGTGGATACATCATCAGCTTGTGGACTGAAGGGTCCTGGGTTTGATTCTGGTCAAGGGCACATACCCGGGTTGCAGGCTCGATCCCTAGCAGGGGGTGTGCAGGAGGCAGCTGATCAATGATTCTCTCTCATCATTGATGCTTCTATCACTCTCTCCCTCTCTCTTCCTCTCTGAAATCAATTAACTATATATATTTAAACCTCGGGCTCATCCTTCGCTCCTTTTTTTTTAAAAGTTCATTTTGATATATATATATCTTTATTTATTGATTAAGGTATTACATATGTGTCCTTATCCCCCCATTTCAGAGAGGAAGGGAGAGGGAGAGAGAGTTAGAAACATCAATGATGAGAATCATTGATCGGCTGCCTTCCACGCCCCCTACTGGGGATCATTTGGCTTTTCCATCCATGTTTTGAGTGATATCGGTTTGTACTTTACCTTTATAACACGAGAAAAGGTTTTGGTGTCAAGGTTGTACTAATTTCTAACATAAATTGCGGAGTAGTGTTTTATTTTTCTTCTATTCTTTGGAAGAGTTTGTATAAGATTGAAGCCATCTGTTCTTCAATTTTTTAAACAAACACAAAAGTGTAAAAATTACAAAGGGAAAGCTAATTTTTTCCTCCTGCATTAGAATTAAGAAGTTCTATTCCTTAGTATAATATAAAGAGAGTGAAAATATAACTAAGAGATCATTGTAATATGTCTAATTGGCAAAGGACTAACATGTGCAGATTACCTTAAAATTTCTACAAATCACTAAGAAACAATCAAATATAAAAATGATCTACATAATTTCATCCTAATTATTGTTTCACTTATCCTATGACGATAATAATTTTATTAATTTCATTTAAATCACTCCAGTGTAGTATTTAATCTTGTAGATTTTATTGTTTATTTAAGCAGTTTCTTATTTTATGAATATGGATTTTCCCTAATTTTTTGCTATTTAAAATATTGCTACAGGCGCTCTCCCTCCCAGGAACACACATACCCACCCTCCACCCCCCACCCCCGCTTTCTTTTCCTTTTTCTTCTTCTCACCTTCACTCCAAAGCTCCAAGGACCCAGAGTCATCTGATCTAGTTCACGTTCAGATGGACAACTCCATAGGAAGCTTCACTTCGAGCCAGTTGGGTGATCAGCTGGAGCCTTTGGGTTTGCAGGAAGCAAGGCGCTTGTTTAAAGAACAGGCAACGTGCCCAGTACTGGGCCGGCCGAATTCGGTAGAGAGTTTGTGATTTCGCTTGAGGACCAGTGTTGTCCACCAGTGCAGGCTCTACCTGGCTAGGACGCTGTATTATGTGAGAAACTCCGCTTACGGGGCACAGCGACGTCTGCCACACCGTGTCAAGGGACATTTACTTCTTAAGCTCTTTGTACTTATAGAGTATCTCTTCTTCTGGCTCTTCCTTAATTGTTAATCCTCACGGGGGATGGGAAGCAACCCCGCAAACCAGGCACAAGCCCTTGACTGGGAATCGAACCTGCGACCCTTCCATTCATGGGCTGACGCTTTAACCGTGGACCCAGACCAGCCAGGGCCAACGCTTCTAGTTGTAACAGCTTTTGCCATTTGTCTTCATAGGTCCTACAACAAGACTTCATTTTGCTGAGTGGGAGCGTGGACTTTGAAATCTCGGGACCCAGTGCATTCAGAGGAGCCCCCAAGGCAGACCCTTCCCACGGACGGCTATGTAAATAAGAACTGAGGTTCGCTCTTTTGATTGGGGAGAACTGGAGAAGGCGGTCCCCCTGCCGGCGCGTTCATTGGGAGCGGGGCCTGCCTATC